CTAATTGCTCTGCTTCTCTCTCAGGGTGGTTCTGAGGCTACATGAGAAAATATTTGGAAGGCATTGAACATAAAACAAATGTGAGCCATGACACCACCACTCTGTGCCTGCAGTGGGTAAACACTGCTAGTCCCGTAAACTGCCTTCAGTCAACATTTATGGGAAAAGCAGAGCTTGAATCATGCAGCTTTTTCGTTTTCCACAAAATCTTAAGATGGATATTGATTCTCCTAAATTCCTAGAATAGTTACTTTAAACCAACCCTCTTGTCACAAGGATTCACCAAAATGGGGGATAGTGTTTATTATATACTCTTTCTTAGAGCACTCTGACAGCCCTGTAAGGTTTTTTTCTTTTAAACCTACTTTGCATTAATATGAAAAAAAATCTTAAGCCTCACAGTGTCACTATTTGACATGAGATCTGAAAATGATTCAGAACATCCTGCCACAGAAATCCAGGCAGGAGATTGGCTTTAAAACTGTACTCTAAGGAACGTGACAAATGATCTAACCAGATATGACATTTCAATTCACAATCACACCCCCATTCAGGTAGCACTTTCTGCTTTCTAACTGCTATTTATTCATCTGTGCAAGGAGGCACGCACTGTAGTGATGTCCAGTAGCTGGTTGATTCTTCTGGCCTGATTTTCTTGCTATTGTGTCATTCAGCATCATTAACAATTACGTTACTTCTAAAGGCATTCATATTTTCTTTTTCACTTAAAGGTGTACCATCCTGTCAAGCATATTCAGTAGAAAAAGATACCTAAAAAAATAGCCATTGGTAAGCATGGCCCTAGCCTGTCTGAAATTGCTCACAACTGCTTGCAAATGTATCGGAATCAGTCCTGGTCATCTTTGATTTATAACACCCCCTGATCCTGGACATTTTTTAAAGTTTGTTTTCTATCACTGACATCTTCCATGTGCAACAGAGATAAACAGTGGCCAAGCAGAACCCTCCAGTTATTCTAGCATCTAGAGAGTTATAGCAGTCATTCCAGGACTCCAAATAGATTTCAAAGGCAAATAAAAAGCCATGATGGCATCAAATGAGTAGAAAAGTCTAGGCGTCGTAGGGTTTGGTTTCTCTGTATCCAGAATAAGACAGTATAGGAGTTGTCCAGGTGTATCAGCCAGTTGGTCTTTCCTGCCCCCACCCCTCTGACTTGGCAGCACAATGCCTGTCAGGATTGTGGACCCTCTTGCCTGGTGATTATGAATTCGGATGCTGGATTTGGAGACCTGGGTTCAAACTCTCTACCCTCTATTAGGGATGTGACCTGGGAGAGTCAGGTAACCTCTCCGAGCCTCCCTTTCCTCATCTTTACATGTGAATAATAACATAAACTAGGGCTGTTGTGACTCTTAGCTTCACACTTAGTAGAAATTCAATCAATACCAGTAGATATTATTGTGGTTCTTATTACCAACATCATTACCAACCTCATCACTTTCCTATACATTGATCTTATCTATGCACGATGTGTTATATCATGTCCTACAGGACTACAGAGATGGGGCATTGCTGATTTGTAGATGTGAACTAGCTTAAAAGGATCCCTGACTTCTTTAAACTGCTTGAGTTAGTTCATATCACTGGAACATGGTAGCTTTGTTGTTTCGTATGACAAGTTTGACTTGGAGAACTACAGAATGAAGGAAATCACGTGTGTTTTGTCAAAAACAAAGCAACAACAAAAGAAGAATCGATGGTAACAGGATCTGAGATGACCAAGTAATGAGCAGTAGCCATCTTTCTGAATAAATAGGATGGACTTGAAATGTGTACTCTTATTGTTAACATAGCATTTGAAAGTCTCCTTAGGTTTGAACCACCTTCTTGAGATCTTGTTCACAGTGTGGATTTTCTGTACCCTGCTAACTCACAATTAGGGGTGGGTTTAATAGCCCACTCTCCCTCCCCAAGTTGTGGCCTCGTCGTGGTGGGGTCAGAATTGATATGCTGTGCCATTTGCAGTTGCACTGGCTTCATGCTGATCTCCATGTTCATTCTGCCTCTGTGACTCTTAGGACTCAGGCTCATTTTTAAATTAACTTTCATCTGATAAGTAATGAGCACATCAGTTTTTTAATATCACAGGAGTTTCATCTAGGAGCCTTTCCTTTTTTTATTACTAGAATGATCTCCCCTGCCCCTTCCCTCCTTCCACGATGTAATAAAACAGAACCTACCCAGTGTAGTACACATTTCAGGATTTCATTATATCCTGCTTGATGGCAGAGACTATTTACACAGAGATGAAGTAGCATGCCTTCACAAGATTATTTCATATGAGGAGAATGTGGTTTTATATAACAAAATAGATCTTTTCCCACTTTGTGAGCAAACTAGCTGAGTCAACATGTTCTCTTAGGAAATCAGGACATTTCCTCTGACTTTAGAATTATGTAACAGTGTCTACATGTATGTACTCAGGCATGGATGCACGCACGTTGGTTCTGTGGTACATATACAGCAACCTCTCATGTATCTATCTGCACATCAGGTGAGAGATAAGCCCATTAGGTGGCTCTCTTAAAGGTATTTTATTTATTTATTCGTTTATTTAAAATTTTTTTTAACATTTTAATTTATTTTTGGGAGACAGAGAGTGAGAGGGGGAAGGGCAGAAAGAGAGGGAGACACAGAATCTGAAGCAGGCTCCAGGCTCCAAGCGGTCAGCACAGAGCCCGATGCAGGGCTTAAACCCATGAACTGTGAGATCATAACCTGAGCCAAAGTCAGATGCTGAACCGAATGAGACACTCAGGTCCCCCTCTCTGAAAGGTATCCTAAAACCATTAAGACCATTAGCTCCAATTTGGGAGGGAAAAAAAAGGACACCTGTTCAAAGATTCAAGTTCTGAGCATGGCTCTTCTTTTTCCATGATAACATATTAAAGTGCTACAAATTTGAATTTTGGAAGGGCCCTTTCAAACTGAATCCCAAAGCTCTGCAAACAGGGATCTCACCCAGTTATCCTTCAAAATGTGCTTCGATATCTGTAAAATTTATTTCACTCACATAATCCCTAAAAAAAATTTGAAAAATTGTGTTTCCACTTGTATACAGTTGACATCTAATTTTGTTTTTATTAAAAATCTAAATAGTTCTTGGGGAATCTAGATGGCTCAGTAGGTTAAGCTTCTGACTCTTGATTTCAGCTTGGGTTACGATCTCATGGCTTGTGGGATCGAGCTCCATGTCAGGCTCTGCGCTGACAGTGTGGAGCCTGCTTGGGATTCTTTCTCTCTCTGCTCCTCCCCACCCAATCTCAAAATAAGTAAACCACAACAACAAAAAAATCTAAGTAGTTGAAAGAACACAATTTCTGTCAATAAATATTTTTATTTTAAAACATCCCCATTGTATCCATTTTTAAATGAATCCAATGGAGTAGTTATTCAATAATCTCTATCTTCCATTAAAAAGTGATGAAAAAGTTCCTCTTTAGCAGTTGGAAATTTTACATGTTCTTTTTGTTCACTATGAATTTGTATATCCATTGTACTTCCATCATAGAATTATAACCTAATACTGCATTTTTTAATACTAGAAACTATTTTATGAATCACCCTATTATATGTGTGAATATATATGTGCATAAGTTTAAATAACTTTTTACCCATGACCCTAATGCTCTAAAAATTTATTTTGGGTTGGGTGATATTATTAATAAATATTGTTAATGCACAATTGTCTCAAACAACATAAATATATTACACATTTTAATAAATATTATATTTTAAAAGTAAAAATTTTATTAGAAATGTGTGGGGCTGGGTTTTTTTCCCCAATTACTATATATATTTTTGCAGGAGGACACATATTATTTCTAGAATGGGCTATGATTCAGCCAAAATTCTCTTCCCACTTTTCATTTTATAGATGTTCTGAGAAAGCTTTCTCACATAAGTGAGTAGATGAGAATGGATGGAGTTTGGTTATAGCATTGCCATTAATTTCTTTAAGTTCCTTCTGACTTATATGTCCTGATCATATAGTGATCTGTCATTGAAAATTATTTTTTAATGGTCCACCAGCCGATGAGTAGATTAGGATTTTCAATTTTACTGAAATAAAAAATTTGGTAACCTCCTTATATGCAAAAGAGTGCACTACCCAGGCATTAGAATCACTCACTTTCATCAACTCCAACACCAATATTTCAAATGGTTCCTTTTTAATTAGCACCTGAAAGGTTTGCCTCCTAGCAATGTCTGTGTGGTGATACCTGGGATGGAAAAGAAGGATCATTTTCTTTTATAAAATGGAAATATGTAATTAAGAAAGAAGATAGCAAGGTATTTTCACATGCAGAGCATTCTCAGGTAAATTTTAGGCAAATGTATATGTGAAGGTTGAGAAACTGAAAATTTATTTCCTTAACAATGATCTTGGCCCCTGTGCCCCTTCGAGAGTTTTGGTGCTCCTATAGGTGTGTGTGTGACCCCATCTGGGTATTCGGGGCTGTACTGGACTCACCCACATCCTTGGACCAGTGAATAAGGAAACAGAAAGTGGGAGGAGGGTCGGTGGTGGAAAGAGACAGAGACTAAGAGAGACTGGTGTGTGTGGGGTGTTCAGAGATGGAAACTTCTATGCCCGGTCTTTGATATACGAACAGAACAATGCATTTCAAGTAAGCACAGGTCACACAGTCTGCATAACCAGTGAGGAAAATGGCTGACTGGCTCCAGAATGCTGGAATTATAAATAAACCTGCAGCAAGCCTCATGCGACTTCCTTTGATCTCATGACATTGCCAACTATTTATTTCAGAGGTTTGGAGTAAGTTCCGTGCTACTTCTCCAATTCAGGGGCACAAAGGAATGGCCCACATCAGGCTTCTGTTTCAGATCCAAGAGATGTGGATGAAAATGAATGTGATTTAAAAAAAAAAAAAACTACCCACCTGGAGGGTTGCGTAACTCCAGAGCCCTTCAAGCCGTGGGAAAGAAAGAGTTCTATCAAGAAATAAGCCACTTACAATGAGCGGGCCCCGGTTGTTCTCTCGGTACTTGTTCTGGAAGAAAATGTAAACGACGGTGGCAGCCAGGGAGTAGAGGAAGGCGAAGACAGCGACCGTGACGAAGAACTCAGCGGAAGATGAGGAGTCACCAGTCAGTGCCAGCTTCTGCCGCTCCTTCCCTTCGCAGGTGGGCACCTCAAACGTCACCTGGTGTAACCTAAAGCACCAGATGAAGGAGACTCTTTACAATGCGATGGAGACCAAGTGCGGGGCCGGGTGTCTACATGTTCTAAAGCAAAGCAGGGGTGATTGGCTAGTTTTAAGGCATGCTTTTATGAGAAGTTCATTAAAGAAATTGAGGTTACCTCAGTTTGGAAGGTACTTCATAATGGAAGAAATGTTGCAGGTAAACCTCATTCCACTAGGTTTCCCAATGGGTAGTCACTCAAGACAGAGGGGAAGAGGGGAGGGAGAGGGAACCCGAAATGATGATAAATTACATTATATGACATCCTCCCGCTCAGATTCCCCAGTGCTTTCTCATTGTGCTTGGACTCAAACCCTAACTCCTTAACATGACCCACCAGGTCTTACATCAGGTCCTAATGGCACAGTCCTGGCTTGTGGTCATTTCATTGACTGTTCCCTTTTCCTCACTCTGTCCCCTGACTCTTTCCATGGCTGACTCCCTCTTGGTATTCCTGTGTCTGCTCAAAAGTCATCTTCTGGGAGAGCCTTTTCTTGACCATTAAGCTAAGATAGCTCCTTTCCCATAGACATTTTCTATCCCATTGCCTTGGTTAAGATCATTCATAGCACTCATCACTAGCTACATTGTCATGGTGATGTATTTAATTACTTGAGGTTTTTTTTTTTTTTTTTTTTGGTCTTCACTGCCCTTTCCATGGTGATGGAATTTTGATTTTCTTCTTTGTGTATCCTGAATGCCTGACACTTGTTAGGCTTTCAGTATATACGACTTGGATAAATGAATGAACATTCTTGATTCTGTAAAATGACAGATCAATACTAATTTGATTGAGCTTTTAGAACTTCAATTTTAGAGACTAAGTTCTATCATGAAAGGTTTCAGGCTCAATACATTACCTAATAGAGAAAAATAAGGTTTGGGGGGTAATACATTCTGCTTAGTAAACGACACCTTGGGGAAACATGTTATCTCCAGTACAGTAGCTCATGTTGTGAACTAGATAGTAAACTATAATTTACAATGGGAGCCAAAATTATGCTTCATAGGAAATGACTAAATTATTCTTTGAGTGTTAGGGAGGCACTTGGAAATAGCCATAGCAATGATATCAACAAAGTACCACTTGGAAAATGATCTACGCAAGTAACAATAATGATAAAACCATCAATGAACCTGGTAATTTCCCAATTTAGGCTTAGAAAGCATTTTTTCTGATGAAGCAAAACGTGATGCCTTTAAAACAGATTTGTTGTGTCCATTCTCTTATACTTTAGATACTAATAAAATGATAAAATAGTAATGACAATAGCAAACTAACACTGGAAGATTTCTTATGTGTCAGATACTGTGTTTTATGCTCATTATTTAACTGAATGCCCAATGGCAACCCTATGACATAGGCACTTTATTGCCCCCTCCCCTTTACAGAATGAGAAATGGGCTTAGACTAAGTTATTTATTCTAAGCCACATGGCTAGCAAATTGGGCAGGCATTTAAATCTGTGCCTGCGTTGGGAGCTTGAAGCTCATGGGCCACTAGTATTGCAATCGCTAGAGGCCTTGCTACAAACATACATTCCAGGGCCTTGTGCTAGACCTGGTGAACCAGAATCTCTAGGGATGTAGCTCTGTTGACAGCTAATGCAGGGAAGTCCCGTACCCCAGCTCCTTATTTCTCAGAAACCTTGTCTTTTCTATTTATTGCCTGACTTAAGAAAGAGCTATTTACACAGTGTACTTGATCCTGCTTCTATTTACTGAGGCTCCTCCTGTTTTTCTTCAACCAGAAAGGTGTTCTGCTTTACAGTACAATTCAGGGAAAGAGAAGCATTCATCATGGTCACATATTGGAGTTCCTTTCCTCCTCTTGCCAGAGATATTAAAATATTTTCTCAGTAGTTTGGTCTGTGGGAATGCTGAAAAATGAAATAGATTTAAAAGGTAATGATGCCAATTATGCACATATAGGAGATTTTCAGGTAATGTACACCTTTTCCTCATTATTTTCTAATATGTCATTATTCAACAAATTTTTGGCAAGTAGCTACTAGTTCACACGATGGCTAGATCCTGGGGTCGAGTGAGGAATGTAGGATGGCCCCTGCCTGTGTTGAACTTCAAGTTGACAGAGAAAAGATAGGTTTCCTAAGAGGAGTCCGAGGCTAGCCTGCAGTGGGGTGGTCAAAATAAGAGTCCCTACGGAAGTGACTTTTAAGCTGCAGCTTGAAAAATGGATAGAAATTATCCATATAGAAAGTTAAGAATGAAAACACAATGAAATATGGCTATACATCCACCAGGGTGGCTATAATAAAAAAAAAAAAAACGAGAAGACTGGAATAGCAAGTGTTGGCAAGATTGGGTAAGAATAACAAGATAAGATTGGAATAGCAAATTCTAATTAGACAGAATTGGAACTTTCATATATTGCTGGTGGAGATGTAAAATGGTGCAGCCACTTTGGAAAAACAGTCTGGAAGCTTTTCAAATGGTTAAACATAGAGTTAGCATATGATCCAGCAATTCCACTTCTAGATACATACCCAGGAGAAATGGTAACATTTGTCTGCACAAAAACTTGTACAAGAATGTTCACAGCAGCACTATGCATAATAGCCAAAAACTGAAACCAACACAAATGTCTATCAATTGATGAATGGATAAATAAAATGTGGTATATTGATGCAATGGAGTATTATCTATTGATAAGGGATGGAGTGCTGATACACACTACAACACAGGTGAATCGTGAAAGCATTCTGCTAGGTGTCAGAATCCAGTCACAAAGGACCACACATTGTATGAAACGTTCAGAAAAGGCCAATCTATGGAAACAAAGAAGAGGCTGCTATTTGGCTAGGGCTGAGGAGATGATGGGAGAATCCAGGATGATGGCTACATGATACAGGATTTCTTTCCTGGGTAATAAAAATGTTCTAGAATTCACTGTGGTGATGGATGCACAACTCTGTAAATATACTTAAAACCATCAAGTTGTACATTTTACGTGAATGAATTGTATAGTATATGAATTATATCTCCATAAAGCTGTTAAAATACAGGTAACAAAGAACATGCACTGAGATCCTGCATAGGCCAGAAACATAGCACATGGGAAAAGATGAGATATCTTGGAAGACTGGAACATGGCAGGAAAAGGAAACGAGTGGTTTCAGATGAGATGGAGACGTCCTCAGGGGCCCTCACCGTGGGGGTATTGTGGGCCAGGTTATAGATTTGGGTCTTTATCTGAAGTCAGACATTGGAAAGACTTTGCTATAATGAGCTACATGTAAAACAAAAATAGCAGGTAGGGCGATGTCACCTGCTGCAAACTATTTAGAGGTCTGCGCACTTGTTTTCCGGATGCCAAGACTGGCGATGCTTCTAGTATGCCATTTCCCTCAGCTGACATGCACAGACTGGGTCTGCAATGTTGGGGTGCAGTGGGGGCAGCAGGCAGCAGGAGAATAAAAGAACTGGGTGTTGGATTTCTTTCCTATGCAATCAGCTGAATATCATTTCCCCTATTGTTAACTTATTACGTTGATTTACAGTAAATGTTAATTGTGGTTATCTATACGAGGCACAGGCACACAGAAATCACTAACAAATCTGTTGTGCTTATTAACACCAGTGATTTATAGCTTGGTATTTGGCCCACCAGTCACACTGGGGTGAAATCAAGGGAAAGAGGGGAAATGGAAATGCATTCTAAGCTAATGCCCCATCTGCAGGAGTAGGGATCATTTATAAAATAAGAACGAGCATGTCAGCTCAAAATAGTCTGATCATAATAATTCATATGACTGAACATTTTTAGTGTTATATGATGGTATATATTACTAAACACATATAACAGAGAGGTTCTTTTAAGCATCAGATAGATATATATGCATAAATATGTATGTTTTATTTTGGAAGAAGAGAGTTCATAGTCAGCAAGTGTTTAACAGCTGTAATAATTTTGGAAGCAAATATCGTTCATGTAGAATCTAAACAAGGGAAAAACTGTTCAGTACAGATAGAGTGTGTCAGTTGGCAGAGTCTGGAAGCCAATGGGACCACCTCTGATCTTGTGATGAACTTGTCAGGGAGCAATTGCTGAGCCTGCAAAAGGGACCAAATTCACTTGTGTTGACTTCAAATGTATAATTCCCTTCGGGCTTGACCTCAGCCAGGGGGTAACTGAATTTCATTGGGTTTTACTGCATTGTGTCTACCAAAGAAAAGCATCCATGTTAGAGTAGATTAAAAAAAAAATTTTTACCAACGCATAAATAACACGTAAACATCTCCCTGCTGCTTCAATTACACTAAAGGGGCTGCTAGGCACCCACAGCTTTTAGTTCTGTTTGTGGGACCTGGAAAGATATTAAGCAAGTTGGCATTGCTTTATTAATGAAAATATAATTATAATAGCAACCACTGACATTTTTCAGCCTCCAGACATTGTGCTAGCTTCTTTACCAACATGATTCTCAACTAATGCTCATAACACCTTTCTTACTATGACCATTATGCACAGATGAGGAAACTGAGGCTTTGAGTGTGCAGTGAGCTTGCCTGAGGCCGTGTAGCTAGTTGAGGGGAGGGACGAGGCTCAAATGCAAGCCGATTATGTGGAGACTACATTAGTAACTACTGTACATTTCTGCCACTCTTTCTCAGAAGCTACAGCATCCTTAGATTTCCAGCTGAATGTCTATAAAAATGACCAAGCCATCTCAGAGTGCCTAGGGGACTCAGTGGGTTGAGTGCCCAACTCTCGATTTTGGCTCTGGTCATGATCACAGTGTCGTGGGACTGAGCTCCGTGTAGGGCTCTGTGCTAACAGCTTGGTATTCTCTCTCTCCTCTCTGCCCCTCCCCTTCTCACACGAGGGTGCTCGTGTGTACATGCGCGCGCTCTCTCTCTCCCTCTCTCTCTCAAAAAAAAAAAAGACTAAACCATCTAATCTAATGGTAGGCATCTAGATAACTTATACTGAATAGGATCCTAATCCA